GTCGTTTTTGGGCGGTCGTTTGTTTCCCCCCCCCCCTTATAATAAATCTTTTATAAATCTAAGCCTCTCCCTTACCCTGAGGAGTGCATCGGTGATCTTTTAAAGCCAACTGCCTTTCATCCTGCCCTCAGAACTACATTAATATGTGAAAGTCCTTAAAAAAAAGAAAAAAGCAGGAGTTGATCCGCAGCTGTGGGATCGGAGGGCCCTCTCCGCACGCTGCTGGGTGAAGGCAGCACCGCAGCATCGCAGCGTGCCCTGGCCCCTGCCTGCGTCCCAGAGAGGGACTCTGGGTGCTCTTAGCCAGGCAGATTTTGTCTAAGTCACTGGCAACTGAATTAAAAAGTAGTTTTCTGCTCCCCCCCCTCCTTTATTCATCCTGTCCAGGTGTGTTTTATGAACAAATAGATATGATTTAAACCGCATAACTGATATATTGCTTTGAACATAATGCAGGCTTAAGCAGCAATCAGCTTGATTGTCAGCAGTTGATGCGCGTCTGGACCTCGCCGAGAAAGCGTTTGATGGGACTTAGGCTGGAAGTGCTCGGGTTTTATTTTTCAAATATCTTACATTTGGCTCAAATTAACTGAACTGCACAGTTCCACTGGTGGAAATCTGGAGTAATTCCTTTGACTTTAGATTTCTGTGGATGTGCTTGGCCCCGTTCAGAGCAGCCGGGCTGTGTCCCCAGCTGAGCCCTGGTGCTGAGCCCTGGTGCTCGCCCTTACTCTAACACGCTGAATAGAGAGACATGCTGGAAGATCACTTTTTGCCTTTGTTATCTGATTTAGCCCACGAACAACAAGCTGCAACAATTAGCCAAACCCCAAAATATCTTTGGCATTAATACTGGACAAAAGGAATATAAAGAAGCATTCTGTGCTGCTGACGCATTACTATTCACTACAAATCCCTATGATAAATACCAGAACTGCTTTGAATAATAGACACTTCTGGAAACCTTCCAGCTCGCAAAGTGAACTGGACCAAGTCGCAGCTTTTACTCCATGTCCAGGGGCTGGGGTAGCAATCGCTGTTCTCACCGCAACTTTGAGCAGACACTGGATTTTTATCCATTTATTTGCCTTTGTTAAATCTATGGATAATTAAACTAACTAGGCTGCTCGAAGGGATAACCCAACCCCAAGGATGCATGCTCTATTAAATACAGTTTGGAGAGAAGGGAGCAGTTCTGACTCCTTGCCTGGAGTTGGGAAAGGGATGTGAAAACAGCCAAGACGTGGCCAAAGCTACTGGTGTGCCATGGCATGTCATGTGTTTGCGCAGAAGGAGAGGGAAGGACAGACAGCTGAAGGAGAGGGGTAGCAGGATGTAGCTTCTTCTTGTTAGTCAAAATTTTCTTGTTGTTTTCACAAGGTGGTTTTTATTTTCTGAAGGGTTCAGGTTGTTACCAAGTGCTTTCATTAAAACGGACACTACACTAGCTATTACCCATCGCTAATGAGACCCCTGGCTGAGTGCGTATAGGAACAGAAAGCACTTCTTCCATTCCGCTCAATTACCCTAACAAATCCCATTTTTACAGTCCACAGTACCTCCATTTGCTAACAGTTTGGCTCCAAACGAATCCCCCCTCCCTGTTTCCAGGATGAAATAAATAAAAGTGCCTCAGCCCCGGGGTCCGGGCGCTCCTGGGGTGCGAGCAGCGATTCCTGCGCTGTTCTCCGCACCCCTCTGCGTGCCCACGGCTCTGAACATCTGCAGAAGGAAGCTTCAAAGAGCCTGTGCAGCCACGTTTCCACGTGTGTGCCCATCCAAGCCCAGGTGGTAACAGAGAAACAGGGCTAATGAAAGAGCAAAGGATTCATTTTTATTTGTCTGTAAATGCAAAGCACTGGGGTAACATTGCGCACACCAGCCCGTGGGTTTACCTTCTGGTGCTTTGATCTGGAAGGGCTGGGAAAGCTCTGGCGTGGTGGGCGAGATGTTCGTCTCTTCCCTCTGAGGGTGCCGGAGCCCTGGCCCAGGCTGCCCAGGGAGGCTGTGGAGTCTCCTTCTCTGGAGATATTCCATCCCCGCCTGGACAAGGTCCTGTGCAGCCTGCTCTGGGTGACCCTGCTTGGGCAGGGGGTTGGGCTGGGTGACCCACAGAGGTCCCTTCCAACCCCTTCTATTCTGTGATTCTGCTGGTTGTCCATGCTCAAGATGCTGGCTCTGCAATGCCAATTGGATTAAAGATCCTGACCTCCCCTTGGAGACCTACGGATGAGAAGGCGACAAGACCTAATCGAGAGGCTGTTGAAGCCAGGAGGAGGCTTCCCCTCAGCATCCAATTTTTCATGTCTTTAGTTGACTTGTTAGCCAAGGCTTTGACAGTCTGGCCTTCTGGCCTTAAACGACCTTGCAGATGGTCTAAGACATAAGTATGTGTGGCTGACAATGCTCTGTGATTTCAAGTAGGAATTAATTTGTGGGAGTCGGATGGCCGGTGTTCATGCAGAAGGTCAGGCTGGCCACGATGTTCTGGCTTTATAATCTCCCATCTAATCTGTTCGTGCCGAATGAGAGGCAGATGCTCACCACTGTGTTCCTGGACCAAAACTCAGGTCCCAAATGATCTCTTCAGCTTTCCAGTGGTGCACAGACATAGGCCTTGGCCCAGCAAGCAACAGGAATCCCTCCCTTTGGTCTCTGTGTAGCCTCTGAGATAAGCTTTACATATTGTTAAACTCTAAATGACAAAAAACCAACAAAAATAACCCCCAAAACCTTAGAAGATTCAGGCAAGCATCTGATGGGTATCTGGAGGGACTGAGCCTGATCAGAGTGTGTTGTCAGTCGTCTGGGCAAGGATTTTATTTATCACATTTGTCCTCTTGGCTAACTGTGTGCCAGATGCAGTTACTGTGGAGGAAGAAGCAAGACCCCAAGTGACACGTCTGGGGCTCGCAGGGGCAGCACAGCCCTCACCCAGCTGCCAGAGCTCCTTCCCCTGCCCAGCGGGGTCTTTTTGGGGGAGATCATTTGATTTCAGCTTTACTGAACACTTGGAGATACTTGTCCAGTGAAAAATTGCCCAGAGTCCTTTGCTTGGAAGTTTTGGGGGTTCATTGTTTTAACAGTTGTCTCTATGTTTTCCTCCTGGTACGTTTCTGCTGTACATTTTTCTTTAGAGCAAAAGGGACCGCATGAAGGCATGGGTACGGGCACGTCTCCCCACCTGCTGCAAAGAGAGAGACTCCTGGTCTATCTACATCTTCGCCCCTCACTCAAGGTAAGGCAGCCGTGCTGCAGCAGCGGTGGTGTGCCAGGCATGGATGCCCTCATTACGATGGCTCGCTCTGCCCGTCTGTCCCAGATGGGTCTCCGTATGTCAGTCCACAAAACTCCCAGCCCTTCCCCTGCTCCAGCACTACATCGGGGTCACACAGCAAATGGCTGCTGGCTGCAGAACACCACTCTGGGGTGGGCATGGCCCTGGCATAGGAGTGTTCAGTAGAGACCCATAGCCCAGGACATGGCTACAGCTTGATAAAGTTCATCGTTTGCTTCGTCAGTGATGCCAGCGCTCTGCAAGTTTTTCATTCAATGGAGCATGGGGAGTTTGAAGCAAGGGGGAAGGTGCTGCATTAAGCAAATAAATCTGAATTTGCTCCCAGTGCACACTTAGAACACAGCAAACAATACTCCTTCACCTCTTAAACCTCCCTGGACTTCTCTGTCCTCCCCCTTCCCTTCCTTCCTCTCCCAATAACCCCCAGAGCACACCCTCTCCTTGCCTGCAGGCGCCCAGCTCTGCCCTTCCCAAAGCCCAGCCGTGCCGGGGCCATCTGGGCTCCGTGCTCTCTGACGTGTTCCTCTGGACATGCACCCACGCTCAATGAGAGTTTTGTGTGATTGAGCTGGTGGGCCCTGGACAGCGTTCGAGTTCATTCATACAAAGATTAGAGAGATTTTCAGAAACAGACTTTGGGAAATGTAATACGGTATTATAAATCCTGGGTCAGCGTACAGCCATCTGTCACAATAAATAGCTTCTGTCCCTTTGTTCCGTGTGTGCTCAACTCTTACAGGCTTGTGGGGAGTATTTCTTCCTTTATTTAAGGTAAATGTGCGCACTATGGACCAGGCAGGGGGTCAGATCCAAACCTGGCCACGTGTCCGAGTTGTGGAAGCAGCTGCTCCATTTCAAGTGACCCAGAGTCCCCTATGATCATTACCAGGGCTTGAAATTCCGTAGCCCAGTGCTGTAGCTCAGATCCTGTTCTATTCATACCCTGATCTGCCTGCAGCATGCGGCTCTGCCCCGGAGGGGATTGGGAGGTTGTAGCTCATCTGCTTTGCAAACGGGAGCGCTCCATTCCCCTGCCATGCACTGAGCTGCTGCATTTCTCCCCAGCCAGTCGAGCATTAATAGCTAGTCTGCGCATCCTCTGTTTTCTTCTTTTTTCTCGGCAGATTCCGTCTGATGTGCAATAAAATCATCACGCACAAGATGTTCGATCATATCGTCTTGGTGATCATTTTCTTGAACTGCATCACCATTGCCATGGAACGACCCAAGATCGAGCCTCACAGTGCTGTGAGTTTCCAAGGTTAACCTTTTCCTGGGCTCCCCGTGGAGCCAGCACCCGTGGCTCGGACCCCACTGCTCTGCACTTGGTCTTACTTTCTTTCTCTTTTTTAAATGGGAGCTGCCAACACCCCCTGTGTATCCTTCGAATTCGGTACAGCAACTCTCCTGGTCCCTACCCAGCGTCCTTTGAAAGTCCAAGAGCAGAGCTCATGGCCTGCAGTGTATCAAATATCCTATTTCTGCAAGTACGATCGAGGTTTTAACACATGACATAAGCATGACATCTGTCTCAGTTTCCTCCTCTGATAAACCTTCAAACACTTTTCCTCTCTCAACACAATGTTCGTTTCTTCCATCTGTTCTCCACGGGCATGTATGTGTGGTGTGAAGGGAATAGGGGAAACTGCTCACTTCATCCTCTTCTCTCCCCTTTGTGTATCAGCTTTGTTGTGACACAAGAAAAAACGAATTGATACATGCACTGTAATGCCATTTCCCCAAACCATTTTGTTTTAATAGACTACGTAAGGATTTCTCAAACCAGACCCTTACAGCACCAGCATCCATCAATCAGAGGGGCAGAATCCTCCTATTGCTCTTTTATTTAAGCAAAGATTGTGGCTGAGAGGTACTGGGCTCTTGCTGATGTGTTGCAAAAGACTGCTCATATCGCAATCGTGTAGAATCCTGCTTTGTTGACGTAGGCGTGTCAGGCTGTTCATTTTTGTGGATCTTCAATGTAAGACCTGGAAAGTGGAGTCTTGGCTGCTCTGTTTCTATTTTAATCTTTCCCT